AGGGGGAACACAACAGGAACAGGGAATTTTAAAGGGCCCAGGGCTCCCAACCACTGTCATCGCTACCTTGGCAGCTACAGCAGCTGGAGACCAGGACCCTTTAAAATGCTCCTGTTGGCATACATCCTGTGGCCCCAGTGGTAGCAAAGGGCTGACTGAGGGAGACTCGGAGCTGGCTTCTCCCAGTGCCCAGCAAAGTCTCTCATCTGCCCTGTCTGCAGATAAGATTTTTCTTCCTCTCATGCAGTCTCTCAAAACTTAAATGTTTTCCAGTTTTTACATAATCAGAGGATGTAAAAGAGGATTTTCACCCTAAAATCCTTTTGTTTTTTCATCCAATTTCTAGTATTTCCTAACAAAGAAACTCCAAAACTCTTATCATGGTATGTAACACTGTAACTGTCATGCAGCTGTGCCCTGCATTGATGACAGCACTCAAGAATGAACTATCACACATTTATTTGCTTTTTGTCAGTTGTCTCAGAGCAGTAATGTGGTTTCGTACATAAGATACCTCTGTATTTCTTTTAAAAAACTATGCTGCACACAATGTATTCTTCCTTATTGCACATGGACATGTGCTGTATGCTTGATTTTTTTTCCAAAGGCTCTTCATTTGATCAAAGCAAAAACAATTTTTAGCAGAGTACACCAAATGCACTTCTTTCCAGTGAGGGATTTTTATCCAGATGTTTAAATTGTGTGGTGTTCAGAAAAAAGGCTTATGCACTCAAAAAGTTAACTTTTTGGGGAGTCAAAGTTTATCCTGCAAGCAGTGTCTGAAGCTGGAAAGTTTCAGTTTGAAAGGTAAAAATTTCATTAGGGTTCAAGTGAGCTTAGAATGGAAATATATATGTAGCCTTAATTATCAATAATGTCACCGCTACGATAGGTTGAGGTTCTACTATGGGCAAAAGAAAATGTATGTTTGATCCCATGATTACTGTAATTTAGCAAATATAACTCGCGGGTTATATTCGTTTTTACAAACCCCTCACCCCCTCAGCAGGGTATATTTGGGTGTGGGGTATATAGGGTTTTTTTTACTCACCAGCTGTTTATTTTTATTCACCGGAGGCTGCTGGTTCCTGTGCAGGAACTGGGGGGGGGGGGGCAGGGGGGGGGGGGGTCTCCCGAGAAGATGGTGGTTCCTGCAGCTGTGCAGGAATGGGGCGGTGAGCGCTTCCCCGCCTGGAGGATGGTGGTTTCTGCTCCCCTGCCCCTTCCTGCGGTTGCAGAGAAACCAGGGGGATAAGTGCTCCCCCGCCTGGAGGCTGGTGGCTGTTCAGGAACTACGGCAGTGAGTGGCTAGTTAATTCCCTTTCCCCACCCCCACACCGCACTGTAAATTAGCAAATATACCCCCGGCAAATATACTCCTGGCACAGAAAAGTCTTGCATACCCCGCGGGTCATACTCGTGCGCGGGGTATACAAGATTTTTTGTACTGAAATAGAAAAAAAACGCGCGGTATATTCAGGTGGAGGTTATATTTGGGTGCGAGGTATATTCACTAAATTACGTTACTTTATTTAAAAAAAATATTCTGTGCCAAATGTAAATCACTGTCATTACATACAAATGAAATAACCCTCTATTCAGTGAGCTTGCACAAGGCCTGTTTACCACTTAAACCAGTAAGTTAAGTGGTACAGAGACTTTGCTTGAGTCTTCTGTACAGAGATTACTTGTACTCTACAAGAATAAACCACCTTTTAAAAATCTAAAGAAGATTGTCTTGCGTATGAATGTTGTGAGAAACATAGTCCAGTGTCTAGTTCAGCTGAGAGGAGCAGTAGTGACATACAGTGGTTGATTGGGTTATTCACAGCTCCTTGTGCAAGAGGCTACATCTCAGGTCCTGTTATGTTCAGAGGTGGTATGAAACTGAATTGTAATTTTTTTTAAATCTGCAGGTCTAGGTACTATGTTTTTTGCCTTACTATATGAAACCACTTCTACAATAAAGGCAAATTTGCTCATTAAAAGAATATATGTCTTGGATCTAATAAGTGTGGATAGCATAAAGAGTAAAGATTTTTTGAAAGTCTTAACATTGGTAATTTAATGTGTAAGCATTTAGTGTTATGCTTACTTTTATACTGAACAGACTTTTTCTCTTTTTCTCTCAAAGTTCAGAATATATAAGTTCTGTTGGTAATACTCCAGCTTTAATGACTGGTAAAGATTCTGGAAGCAGCAACAGAATAAAAGAGCCATTATTTGGTATTATTAAAGAAACAGCAGCAGCAAACGACTCTCATGATGAAAATGGTCACTGCACTGTAGCATTGTCTGAAGATGAGAGACTGCTGATTCATGGTGTTCCTTCCAGGGAGTATTGTGATCCTTTTGTTAACCAGTGCTGTATCAGCCAGTTATTTACAGAGCCGGATGATATGAATGAAATATCCAACAGATGTAGTCCTTATAACAGAGACGATTATAACATGACTAAAGGTACTGATAGATGTACCATAGACAGATGCCTTAAAGGGATATTCACAGGTCCAGAGCAGACTTTCTTTAAAAGTAAAACTATTTCAAGTGCAAGCCATAAAGAAAATAAACAGCCTAATACAAAACACTTGGAAGAATACCCTGAAGGACATTATTACATTGTATCTTCTGAAAGCAATGAAAATCCTTCAAAATATGAAAGAACAGGTAAGTATCAGTGATGCAAGGAAGTAAAGTACTGTGCTATCTTATTGGCATTGTTTTAGTGAGCCACAGGATTTGTATGAGAAAGATGTTATGAAACTAGGTACTGCAGAGTGTTTGTCTCAGGTAGAATTATATAATGATAATTATCTTGTGAGCTAATATCACATAATAGTAATTTCTGATAAAAATTGTGATGGAATCATTTGTTTCAATTAAAAATATATTTTAAATTCAATGTTTACATTTTGTTTTGAAGGAACATTTATAAACCACCACAATCACAAGATTAATTTAGAGGAAAAACTGAAGAATTATTCAACAATGAAAAAGTAAGTTTCATGAGTAACTGTTAAAGATGATTTATGTATATGATAGACTTAATGGGCAAAATCCTGGCTCTACTGAAGTCACTGGCAAAACTCCAAGAGTATGTCTACACTAGCTCCCTAGTTTGAACTAGGGAGGCTAATGTAGGCATTCAAAATTGCAAATCAAGCCCGGGGTTTAAATATCCCGGGCTTGATTTGCATCTTCCTGGCCGGTCGCCATTTTTTGAAATTGACAAGTCTGGACTAACTGCCCGCGTCTACATATTTAAATCCCGGGCTTGATTTGCAACTTCGAATGCCTACATTAGCCTCCCTAGTTCGAACTAGAGGGCTAGTGTAGACATACCCCAATAGACTTAAGTGAGTCTACAGTTTTACCCATGATGCATAAGAACATGAGAATTTCTTTAAGATTATTAGATTTGCAGCACATAAGTCTGCAAACTTTTAAAATACAAGATATTTCTGAACATGCATTATCCTCTGTAAATAATTAGCATTTAATTGTGATTTTCATACTCAAACTAATGGGCTACGTCTACATTGGCCCCTTTTCCAGAAGGGGCATGGTAATTTTTGAAATCGCAATAGGGAAATGCGCGGGGGATTTAAATATCCCCCGCGGCATTTAAATAAAAATGTCCGCCGCTTTTTTCCGGCTTTTAGAAAAGCCGGAAAAGAGCGTCTACACTGGCCCCGATCCTCCGGAAAAAGCGCCCTTTTCCGGAGGATCTTATTCCTACTTCAAAGTAGGAATAAGATCCTCCGGAAAAGGGCGCTTTTCCTACTTCAAAGTAGGAATAAGATCCTCCGGAAAAGGGCGCTTTTTCCGGAGGATCGGGGCCAGTGTAGACGCTCTTTTCTGGCTTTTCTAAAAGCCGGAAAAAAGCGGCGGACATTTTTATTTAAATGCCGCGGGGGATATTTAAATCTCCCGCGCATTTCCCTATTGCGATTTCAAAAATTACCATGCCCCTTCCGGAAAAGGGGCCAATGTAGACGAGCCCATGCTGTAAAATAATAAGTGAAGTAGGTTGTTTGACAGGGTTTTTTTAAAAGACAACAAGCAGCCATTATTGAACAGACTCTTGGATTACCTCTAGGTTGCTGAAGAAGCCATTGTCTTTCCTCTGGGGCGATTTTGTCTTTTCATTTTACAAAGTGGCATTAGCTTGAGTAATCTTTTAATAGCATAGTATTCCACAGAAATTATGTTTAGAAAAACAGCTCTTTGTAGTATATCTTGAAAATGAAAAAAAATATAGCTTTAACAAATTGTAATAGTGCAATGCATTTTGTAATTAAAGTAGCAATAATGAACTTGCATTTAGAAAAAATCAGTGAGGAGTCCTGTGGCACCTGAGGGCATGTCTACACTAGGGAGTTATTTTGAAATAACTCCTTATGTGGCTATGTCTACACTCCCAGGTTCAAAATAAGTGACAGTATATTGAAATAATAATTTCCAAAACAACTATTTTGAAATAAACTTATTCCTTTTCACAAGCAGGAGTGTTATTTTGAAATAACAAACTCAGTGTTTTGAAATACCAGTAGTCTATTTTGAGATAGCATGAAATTTCTAAATAGGCTGTCTACACAGCACCAAATTTCAAAATAGAGTGCTAGTCTGACATCTTCCTTATTTCTCGTGCAACTAGGCTTACAGGAAGTCAGAATAAGATGCTAGTTATTTCAAAAAAATTTCAAAATAATGGGAGTGCTGTTGAGATGCACACAACACTATTTTAGGATAAAGGACATTATCCCAAAATAGCACAGCTGTGTAGACATACTCTAGACACGGTAAGTCTACACAGCAGCGTTATTTTGGAATAACAGATGTTATTGCAAAATAACATATTGTGTGTCTACACAGAAAGCCCATTAGTTCAAATTTATTTTGAAATAACAAGCTTCTTACTCCAATTTTTGTAAACCTTGTTGTATGAGGAGTAAGGAAAGTTGTAGGAAGAGTTCTCTATTTCAAAATAAGTGCTCTGTAGACATGGCCAATTTTGAAATAAGCTATTTCAACTTAAGCTATACAATTAGCATAGCTCAAGTTGTATAGCTTATTTCAAGTTTAGTCCTGCTATGTAGACATACTCTTAGGGTGCGTCTGCACAGCAGGGCTTAACTTGAAACAGGCTACGCAAATTGAACTACATCAATTGGGTAACTGATTTTGAAATAGCTTATTTCAAAATTGGGAGCATCTACACAGCACTTATTTCAAAATAGAGCACTCTTCCTCCAACTTCCCTTACTCCTCATATAACGAGGGTTACAGGAGTTGGAGTAAGACATCTTCTAACTTGACATTATTTCGGCATTATTTTGAAATAACTGCCTGCTGTGTAGACACGGACTAAGTTATTTCGAAATAATGCTAGTTATTTCGAAATAATGTTGCAGTGTAGACATACCATTAGAGGCTAACAGATTTATTAGGGCATAAGCTTTCTTTAGTGAAACCCACTTTATCAGATGAAACCTTTGTGAAGTGGGTTTTTCCCATGATAGCTTAAGCTCTTATAAATCTGTTACTCTCTAGGGCATGTCTACACTAGGAAATTATTTCAAAATAGCTTATTTCAAAATAACTCCCAAAATAACTATTTTGAAATAAACATTATTCCTTATGGAAAGCAAGAGTTATTATTTTGAATATAATTAGCCACCTATTTTGAAATAACGGGCTTGCTATGGGGATGCTCCACTTGTTATTTCAAAATAAGGGCTAGTGTAGACCAGGACTAAGGTGCCACAGGACTCCTCATTGTTTTTGCAGAAGCTTCAGAGGGGTTGCCGAGTTAGTTTGTAACTGGAAAAACTTAAAAAAAAAACAATGAATAGTCTAGCACAGAGGTGGGCAATAATTTTTGCCCAAGGGCCACTCCAAACTTTTTTGAAGTAACCCCGGGTCACCCAGGAAGGGATGGGACCTAAACAGGAAAGGGCAGAGGTACCCCACCCCCAACCATGATTGGGAGCCCCTTTCCCCCCCTTCCCACTAGGCACCAATGCCCTGGAAGAGGCTTGGCATGCTCCCCCACTCCCAGGCCAATCAGGGTCTGGGGACGGGGGAAGCATCCCACCCTGTGAGGACACGTAGCACTTTGAAGAGCTGTGGGATACTCGCAGGGCCAGGGCAGGGTGAAGGAAGCTTCATGCAGCTCCCCTGCCTCCAAGCCCTGATTGGCCTGGGGGCGGGGGAGTGTGCGAAGCCTCCTCTGCTCTCCCCCCTGCCCTGCTCGCAGAGTGCAGGCAGAGCAGAGAAGCGCTTCGGGCGCTCCCCTGCCCCCATGTCCTAATTGGCCTGGGGGCGGGGAAGCAGCAGGGCCTCTGTGGGCCGGGTCCACCCACTTGGCAGGCCAGATCCAGCCTGCGGAGACCCTTTTGCCCACCCCGGTCTAGCAGCACCTTAAAAACTAACAAAACATGTAGATGGCATCATGAGCTTTTGTGTGCACAACCCACTTCTGTTTTGGCAGATACAGACTAACACAGCTACCCTCTGAGACTTTTATTATTTTCAGAAATCATAAAAGTGCTGATACCTACAAAGAGGACTGTAAGATTAGGAGTAGTATTTTTATTTGAGGAGTAAATAGAGGCTAAAAACCACTTGAATCTTAGGACCTTATTTTGTTTCATTCTTTAGTGACATTGACAATGTTCCTCTGGAACAATCCAATAGAGGGTGCTCACAAGTCTTTGGATTTCAAGAGGTAAAACAGTTTTACTTAACTGTTGCTTAAGGAGATGGATATATTTGTGCTACATATTACAGATGTTTGTGCCACACACACACTTAGTGTCAGATTCTGCTTTCTGGAGGTGCAGCAGACAGCTATTTTCGCGGGGCAGGTACCATGTGAGAGCTTGCCACATACCATTCTTCATATGATTCTGTTGGGAAGTTGCTGCGATTATACTTTTTTCCCACAAGGAGTGATGTGGTGCTAGAAGATAGGACAGCTGGCTCAGGGCTGAAGCAACCAACTGAGAGAGGAAGGGGCACTTTGGCCTTGCGCCTCCCCCAATTCTGGCATACGAGCCTGTCAGTTGTGTTCCTTATAGATGCCTGGACTAGTTTGAATTCCAAACCAGATATCATTGACCACATCAGTGAGAAATGGGAAGAGTAGGATCCTCCCTTCACAGTTACTGTCTTTGTATTTATCCATATTTGGCAATGAAATCAATTATTTGGTGGCAGCGTAATTCATTTTTACAGCTTAAGTTCTCTAGTTCTGGATGATCTCTCCTCCAGTGCAAGGAGACATAAGAGTTTCTCAGTTAAAAGGATATAAGCCTAAATTTTAACATGGGCAAACTTTGTTTTTTGTCTCATCTTCACAATGGCCAAACCATTTTAGATTAAATTTTCCAGAAAAATTCACTTGAGGCTAGAAGACTTCAGCCCCAAAAGTTGAAGTGTGGCCAAGTTATAATCAACTAAAAATAAGGTGATAAATCCTATAAAAAGTATCAGGAAACCTTAGCAATTGTCAGCACTTAGGTAGTGCCAGCTATAACAAATTGTATGGCAACTAATATATATTTTTTAATCAGTGAATTAACTGATAATAGTTAAAAAGTGGAGGAATATTAATCCCAAGAAAACTAGATAATTGCCATGTGGCAATGTTCCCTTTACCTATTTCTATCCATGCATGGAATAAATGTTGTTATGTGCACCGAGGCATGTGCAGATGTGCACCACAAATGCTAACACATGTTGCTGGCTGTGGGAGGCTGTGGGAACTCGGCTAATGAGCTGGGCAGCATTTGAATCTCTCCTGAGTGGCCACCCAAATGCTCAGCTTAAAGGGAACACTGCCATGTGGCTGCTATTATGTTTTTGTCAGGGAAGGCTGAACAATTTGGTAGGTCATGCTAGATGGATTGCTGAAACATGGGGATTTCTAGTATCCTCACTCAATAGGATAGAAGAAAAAAATTCTATATAAAGGAACACAATGAAAAGTAAGATTGTCAGACTGAAATGTATTAACTTCACTTTTTAAAAAAAGGTTTTGTCAGCAGAAGAGGAACAGTATGATTTTGAAGCAAGTTCAAAGCTTGACAAGATGGAAAAGAGTCAGTATTCATAGTTCTAAATAGATTTTTTTCTATGTAAAACTTAATACAGCTACATCTTAAGTCAAGTAATAAATGATTGCATTCTGTTTTGTAAGCTAGTAATACGTCTGATTCACCCAATAGTGAATGAAGAAATTGAAACATTAGTTCATAATTTAAATATTTTTAATTGCTTTCATCTGAAAAGATTGATTAGCATCTCCCTACTGATTAATCGCCTGTAATTTTTTTCACTGTCCCATTTCTGCTACTATTTGCATCTCCGAAAACATAAAATGCCAGTTCTGCAAGTAGTGATAATTGTAAAAAGACCTTTCCTTCAGACCATGACTAGCTTGAAAATATTTTGTAAACTGTTCTGAGATGAATTAATCCCTGCACTGGAAGTTCAACTGGAGTCTCTTACTGCACTCCTTTGCCTATTATTGCTAGACTGTTCTTCAGTTCCACGGGGGCATGGTAGTGATATGGGTCTACAAGGAGTCCACACCTCCACTGGTTCCTCTGTACCTTCTGGGGTACAGATATTTGATGGGGTACAGCAGTGGACACACTTCCCACGCCCCCAGGAGCTTGTCTCTGAGGGTATGTCTACACTGTGGCACTATTTCAGGACACTTATGATATCCCAAAATAGCTATTCTGCATCTTTTAAACAAGCCCGTTATTTTGAAATAGCTTTCAAAATAATGGGCTTGCTATTCCAACATCCCTGTAAACCTTGTTCCATGAGGATTAAGCGACGTTTTGGAACAGTGCTCTATTTTGAAATTAATTTCAAAATAAGCTATTTCAAAATACACTCGAAATAAGTTATGCAATTTGCGTAGCTCAAATTGCGTAGCTTATTTCAAGCTACGGATGCAATATAGATGCACCCAACAATGCAGCTTCACAGTGTTCCCAACACAGGGCTGCACTTTAATGGCACAATTTAGACCTTAGGGAATGAATATAGTTCCCATGCATTCTACTAGGAGAGGATGCCTATTCTGAGAGGCAAATAAGCACTGTATAATGTACTAGCTAACCCCTAATACTACAAATAGTGTCTTAAAATTATTTATAAATTGGGCAAGTGTAACTTTGAAATGGTTTTACTGGTGCATACAATATATGAGAGGTTCCTTTGTTCATTTGTTTGTTGAACCTAACTTTTTTCAATCTAAGCTCATTTTGTAGACATTGACTCATCACTGAGCAGTCAGTCTCCAAGTTACTCTCCAAAGAAAACTGATAGTTGTTTCTGCACTAGTTCTGACATAGTAAGCAATGCAATTTTATCTTTATTACAATTTTTATTATTATGCTTTCATTTATAAGAGCTCATCACCATGGTATCTGGTGCCAAAGCACATGTACAGGAACTTGCTGTATTATCTTTAATTTTGTTATTAGCTTTCTTTATGAAAGCAAAAACCACTTGTGAGGAATATAAAATAGGAAACAGTTTTAAGCTTTAAAAAAGCATAGTTAAGCAGTAATTTGCATTATCTGTAAGTGATATTAGGCCACAGGGAATTTTGATAATAGCTAACAAAATAAAGTTCTGCTAAGTTCCTGGTATTACATAACTGTACAAGAACAGACTTTGGTGCATTATGTTTTTATTTGTTCTTAAACAAGAAGATCGTAGGTTTGGCCTCATCACTTTACTTACTTTAGTTGTGGTAGCAACTTACTGGTCTTTTACATACAACCACATTCATACAAACCAAATCTGTTTGTATAGTCTGAAGAGGACGACCTAGCTGAAAAGTGTATTTCTGACAACTCCTTTCAAAGAAACAGTGCCAATCCAATTGCAGCTTCAACAAGAAAAGGACCACAACATAGCTTTTGCACAGAGAACTATGCAACAAGCCAACACTCCTCGTCAGAAAGAGCCCAGTTTACAAGCTACAAAGGAGGAAAATAAAGACCAGACTGTTGTGCTTCAGCACAACTCATCACACATATCATTTGAAAGGAAGGCTAATAATAACAGTGAAAGATGTGATGCTTGGTCACAAACTGAGAGCCCTACTGTAAGGGTAGAAAAATTAAATGCTTCAGTACAGTGTAATATAACAGAAGCCTGTTGCTGTAGAAACCATTGTTCCTCTGTCCCTAGTGCGGAAATACTAACTAATGTTAGTAAAGCAGATACCACTGGAGGGCAGGAAATTACAGCAGATGAGGCATTTCAGTCTTCAAGTAAAGACAATGCAACAATTATTGCAGAATTTCCTCCTGGAACTGAGTATCTGACTTTGCCAGACAGGTTGACTATAGATGTACTAAACTATATTAATGTAATGGAAAAGAAAGAAATGAACAACTGAGTACAAAGAAAAACTATTAAATATATTGTCAGAACATCAAGAAGCCCTGCGCTCCTGGGGGGATGTTAGTCATTTTACAGTTGTTTTTAGTTATGTGTATAAGATATTTTTACAAATAATATTTAATGCTCTTAATATTTTACTGTAGCTTATTGAAAATAACCCCTATTCAATAGATATATTCCCACAATACATTTATAACATTTTGTTGTTTGGGATGGACCCTGTTCTTATTGAATTCAATAGGAATACTCTAATTGACTCAAAAGGACATTGTACAGGGCACTTGGTGCACAAAAAAACCTGTATATGGCTATGCACCCATTTTAACACACATAGTTCATGCATACAATTTTTGTGTTTTTTTTTTTTAGTAAAAACAGCAAATTTACATCTATGCACACAGAATAAAGTGAAGTTACTACAACTTATTTAAATAAGCAATAATGTTAGTCCAGTCTCCAATCGCAAATACAGGCTCATCTCTTTGTGGTTTGCCTTCAGATTAAAATACTGAGTTCTGTTCTTTTGTTATTTAGTTCAATATTTTTGTTAATCCATAAATCTTGACAAATAAAGAGTTGTATTTCCTATAACAGTGTTTACATATATTCATGTCCCCTCACACACACACTTTAAAATGTAGCTCTTGCGAAAGGTACCAGATAGGTAAATAGAGGATTTTAGTTGTAGTCTAAGTGACCAACAGTACAAGTGCACATCCCCCATCAGTGTTTAATCCTGTTCAGAACAAGTCACCTCTAGAGTTGAGTCTCCATTTCCTTTCAAGCTTTAGCCTCCTGACTCCTTGCAATGAACCCATTTGTTGAGCAATGAGCTTAGTCAAAAGATGCATTAGCAATTGTTCTGTGAATGGTGCTGTGGTTTTTCTTCGTAAGTTTGATATGCTTAAGTTTCTTCTTATTTTGGTGATCCTAGTTGCAAGATTCACTAGCTCTACCTTCTATGAGTGAGTCTACACAGTAACACTATTTCGAAATAACTAGCTATTCCGAAATAACTTAGTCCACATCTACAAAGCAGGCAGTTATTTTGAAATTATGTCAAAATACTGTCAAGCTGGAGGACTTTTTACTCCAACTCCTATAACCCTCATTGTACAAGAAATACGGGAAGTTGGAGGAAGAATGCTCTGCTTCAAAATAAGTGCTGTGTAGAAGCTCCCTATTTCGAAATGCACTATTTTGAAATAAGATACACAACTGATGTCACTTATTTTGAGTTAAACCCTGCACTGTGAGACCAGTGAGACCAGTTTCTCTTCTTACCATGTTTTGACCAGAAAGGATTCATGACTGAAGGAATATGTAAAATATCATCATTGCTAAAATCCTTTTCCATTGTAGGTGGAACATTATTTATCCTTAGATCTGTTGGTTGCACTTTCTACAACAGTATGTTTTTGGAGCTAAGGGACACTTACATGGAGCTATTTTTAAAAGGAAGTGGACAGTGCTTAGCAGTGTGCAGATTTAGGGGTAGGGTGTTCTTAAAAAGTGCTTGTCAGAAATTTCTTTGCAGCTTGCACCAAATTTTATGCTATTGCCCTTTTTCACATTCACAAATCTTGTGTGGGAAGGAGTTTGTAAACCCATACTTTGAAATATGGGGCCAGTATTCAGCCAAAACTGAGACTGATTCCTGGGGCTAGACATAAACAGATTTTCTTCATTCACATTATCTCAATCTGACTTCAAAGAACACACAGCTTCCTAGTAATTTTCTTACCTGACATTACAATGATCATCTTTCTCATAGGGAGTTATAATTATCTGAAGCATATTTATGATATGCTAAAAGTATATAATCTAAAATACTGTCCCTACAGTTCCTGACAATATTGAGTAAAAATGTGATATACTGTATCACAAATACAGGCTAGGAGTATGTTAAATCTTGTAACAGGGACATAATATACACTGCACGCACTCCTGCAAAGCTTGAAAAGATTGAATCATGTGAAGGAGGTTTTAAGGATTGAAGTTTTAAATCTGAGTTTCCCAGATTTTCTTTTCAGAGTCACTTCTGTGGTATCGGAGTACCTGTAAATAATAGATTTCTTGGTCTGTCTGGTGGAGCTAACTGTGATTGTCCATGGGTTCCTTGAATATAGTCATCTGTAGGGTTCTGGTGTTGAAGCTGATCAAGGTGGCTAGGAGATTGATGCTGGTGTGGGAGTGTTTAAGAGAGAGTGACAGGAGATTGAAATTGTGGTGGAAATGTATGAGGGAGATTAGGTAGGGAATACATATTTAAAACCACCTTCACTAAACAAAGGTGGCCCATCACAGAAGTAGATTGCATCCAGAAATATGCCACCCAAAGTACACTGGAAGAATCTGCTTCAATACAGGGAGAAAGTAACCCATATTAAACACACAACCAAAGTTGTCACCTATCACACCACACTAGGACCCATACAGGCTATCACCAAACAGTTACAATCCATATGCAAGGGGAATTGCATTCTTAAACCATTTTTTATGATAAAACAAGCTCTTCTTCCTCATATTCAGAAGCAAGCTTTACCCAGACCAGGATGCACAAACTCAAAGTCCCAACCAGAACAACAGACACAAAACCTGAAAATGCATCTTTCATTATTATGATGATCAATACTTCTCCCCAACATGTTTTTCAAGGTCCTTGAGTCCCACACATGCCTATCATAACATATGGTTTACTGCATCCAGTGCACCAAATGCTCCACAACAACTGCGTAGCTGAAACCATTATCATATTCTTTGAGCTCACACCAAAAAATGATAAAGGACAAAAATCCCATCTCAGCTGTGTCAAACACTTTTCACAGAGTGATCACTCCACAGCTGAATTCTTAAGTCCTCATCACCAAAAGAATCCTAAGCACCTTCCAAAGAAAAGCCTGAGCCCTTACATACATAATGCAGCTGGACAACAAAACCATGGACCAAACAGCAACACTAATTTTATGGCTCATTACAACAAGGCTCATTTGTAACACACACTGCTGATTTCAAACTCTTAATTGCCCACTTCATGTGAAGCAGCCTCCTAGAGCATGTGTGAGCCCCTTCTGCTCAACAATCTGTCCCACCTTGTATATATGTAAGCGGGGAAATGATCCCGCTATTGTGGGGAATTTTCCTGGCTTCTATACACCCCGGTGAAATGAACCAGCGAAAGGATCTGAGTCCCCGCTCCCACTTCCTTTACCCCACGGCTCCCTGATCCTGAGGGCTCCCCCTCCACTCTCCTGAGTAGCAGAGCCCTTGAAACCCCAACAAGGCTGGGCCCAGGTTTCCTGGGGCTTAATCCCTGACCTTGTAGTCACTAGGGGCAGGAGTTAGGGTGTCCCCACTCCGAGGTGCTCTCTTTACACTGCAGGCCTTCTTGGCCCAGTGATCACTTCATAAGGTTCAAAGCAAATACAATTTATTAAACAACAACGGATTAAAGAGAAAAGAATAAGAAAAAAATGAGAATGGTTAAATGAGAACACACAGCCCTGCTCTGTAGCACAGGGACATCAAAACAGCAGCCTGCAGAGTATAAGGACAGTCCACAGTCTCTTTCTTAGAGGCCCTGGATATGCTGCAGGGGGAGCTACAGGCTGGACACGCTAGCTCTGGTAGTGACCACACAGTCTCAAGCTTGAAGTGGCCAGACCCCTCTCCCAGTCCATGGCCTCTCCCCACACTTTGCTGGTCCCAGGTGCTCACCACATCCAGCTGCAGGCTGTGTTGCTTGGCCAGTTCCAGCTCCTTGTGTTGCTTCTCTGTTTCTTTAGGCTTTCTGAGCACTGCCAGTCTGCTGCTCAACACAGGGTCTGCTCTCCTTGAGTTGTGTATGCCTGGCTCTGCTGCTGCAAAAACTGTTCCTCAGCACAGCTTGCTCCTCTTAGCAGTCTCTCAGCTCTCTGTTTTTTCAGGACTTCTTCACACAGCTTGTCCTCCTATTTCAGCTCTCTGTCTTTGCAGGACCTCTTCTGCACACAGCTTGTTTGTTCAGAGAGAGAGCCAGAACAATCCCAGCTCACAGGGAGGACGAGGCCTGGCCTCTCCCCTTCCTCACTGGCCTGTCCAACCTGTCAATCAGGCTGAGCTGGAGTGTTGGCTGCTTTCCATTGTCTCCGGGGTCAATCAGTCTCATGAACTCTTCCCCTTCAGATACTGCGAGCTGGCAAGCCAAAAACTCCCACAGAGTTTTAGTAAGGGGTAACAGTCCCCTTACATATAGGTTGGAAACTCTGATTGCCTTCCCTAGACCTGAGGAAGAACTTTGTGGAGCTTGAAAGCTTGTCTATTCCACTAACAGACATGAGCCCAGTAAAAGCTATTACCTCACCTACATTATCTCTTCTATTTACTTGCCAATTTTTTCAATAGTTTGTGTCATATATCATAAATGTCTTTACATGCCACTTGTTTTTTGGCTCTGTTCTTTGGCTGTGCCATGCTACTACAAATAACCCTGGCATGGCATGGAACAGCCTCCTGTAGATGACATGTCACCGTGAAATGTTCCTGAATGATTCATTTTACATTTGGGCTGCTGATTTGGCTGGCAAATGTAGCAGTCCCATGTGACCAGG